ATTTGTAACCTTTTGATTATCAAGTTAATAACATAAACAATTTTAATGTGATCGCCCTAATTAAATAGAATTTTGACTAACCAAGGTTCAACCATCACAAGATCCATATCATCAATGCCCCTTCTCATCATTGCCTCTATAAAAGGGGGATAACTTTTCATCAAAGCTTCACAATCAACCAACTCTTGAATATCCTACAATAAAGAACAAGCAATTGAAATCTAAACATGATCACATACAATAATCTGTGTACTCCATTGTACTCATACAAGCACAGAAAACATACCACGTACGTATGGTTGAACATCTGGAATGACTTGGGATGAAATCACTTTTCCCTTGTCATGTCCCTCATGCACTTTGGCTAGCTCAACAATCCATATTGTCTCATTCCTTCTCTTATTGTAAAGGGTGAGCTTAGCTCGCCGTGGAGGAAGCTTATTCATGATTTCTGGTCCTTGGTGAGGTGAGAAAAAGTATGCATCTGCTAGTGCAACAACACTTTTGTTTGGTTCTATAAAACCACCTCCATAAATCGAATGCCATGACGACAAACACAGAGTCTGTGGAGGAGAAATTAGCTTGAATCCCTAAGTCTCTAGAAGGAATTGTTGTCGCCCTCCAAAATCAAGAAAAATGGCTTAACACCCTCGATAATAGGATAGGAAGCATCATGGAGGAGCAAGGAAGTCGTGCTCCAGGAAAGCAACCCGAAGGGTAAGAAGAGGTTGGTCAGCAATCACCACCACCTCCTGTTAGCCATGCGGCAGGAGAAGCTGCTTCCCACTTACCTGCAACTGAGAAAACTATTCCAGTTACCGAAGGCATGATACGAGTGGATCAGTTGAAGGACTACATAATGGGGGCCATCAAAGGCAAGTTGGATGAAGGCCAACCTTCATATTCCTATGCTAAGCCCTACACACAAACAATTGAGGAGTTGAAAATGCCCTAGCTCCTCCAATGCACCTGGAAAACAAGAAGTTAAAAAGTGGAACAAACCATTTCCGAAGCAAGAAAAGAAAGAAGTGATGAATGTGAAGGCTACACCAATGACAGTCTTCACTAAGGCAACCGAAAGGCCTAGGCCAAGATCATTTTCTAGCCCATCAAGGGGTGGTATGTAACACCCCACTTTTCTAATTCTTAATTATAACTCTAATCAGTCATTAACAATACTAAGCAGCGGAAAAACTAAGAGATATATAGTGGGAGTGTCACCGCAACAACCACTACTCTTTGGTGATTACACAGGCTAAAAGGGGTAAAACTAGAAATAAGATTAAGTCTGGGAACTAAATGTAAATACTGGAAACGTAAGGGGGAAAACGTCACCCCAAATAGTTTACATCGAATCTCAAACATAAAGTCAAAAGTCTAAAATCCATACATAACATCAAAAGATACTAGAGTTTAGATATCTCTATCTACGATACTAATCTAACTCGACTTCTTCACACTGCTGGGCCCACCTAAAAGGGGTTTTTGCAAGCAACACATAGGCAAATAGGAAAACATTCGTTAGCACGAAGCTAAGTATAACCACACTCAACCCTGTAAAGCATTCTAGCATATACTTTGAAAACATTTGATTTATTTATAGCAATAAGCTAATCTCAAATCATCTTAAGATTTATCACATTCTTTCTAGATGCTTGCACCCTATAATATCAGCTGGCATGCTCATGTATGTACAAGACTGTTCACATAGATTCAACAGCTTATAAACTTCTCAAATAACTTAACAAGCAATTCATGCTTACGGATTGGATCATGTTAAAAGACCATATAACAGGTGTTTACATGCTTTCACATTCTTATCACATACCTTGATAAGTAGAGCTTCTAATACAACACAATAATCATGCTCAAAGGAATATCTTAAGTCAAACTTCTCATTATACAATCTCTTACGATTCTCTATTCGCATGCAATCACGTATAACATTATGATCATACTTTTTATGCAATCTAATGCAACAATATATTCATACTCATATGCAATCTCGTGCAATTATATAATCATACTCTTATGCAATCTAGTGCAACAATATACTCATACTCATATTCAATCTCGTGCAACAATATAATCATACTCTTATGCAATCTAGTGCAAGAATATAATCATACTCTTATGAAATCTAGTGCAACAATATACTCATACTCATATGCAATCTAGTGCAATAATATACTCATACTCATATGCAATCTTGTGCAACAACGTAATCATACTCTTATGCAATCTAGTGCAACAATGTACTCATACTCATATGCAATCTAGTGCAATAATATACTCATACTCATATGCAATCTTGTGCAACAATGTAATCATACTCTTATGCAATCTAGTGCAACAATGTACTCATACTCATATGCACTCTAGTGCAATAATATACTCATACTCATATGCAATCTTGTGCAACAATGTAATCATACTCTTATGCAATCTAGTGCAACAATGTACTCATACTCATATGCAATCTAGTGCAATAATATACTCATACACTCTTTTATAAATTAGAGTACTTTCTGTGGAGGTGTCTTTGTTACTTTCTCGAGTCTCTCTTGACTCTCTTTCTTTCTCTCGAGTCTCTCTTGACTCTCTTTCTTTCTCTCGAGTCTTTATTGACTCTCTTTCTTGAGTCTCGGTTGACTCTCTTTCTTGAGTCTCTGTTGACTCTCTTTTTCTCTCTTATACTCGCAGACAGCTTAGGGTTTCAGAAGTGTGAATTACCCCATCGGCAATGACATAATTCCGACCCAATATCTCCTACCGTTTACGGAACCAATTTCGTGGTCCAAACCCTGTGGAATCAGGTATCGAACTATTAATGTGCACACCCCCTAACCAGGATTCCAAGCCTGGCGGGAAGTTTCCAACCTCGTAACGTGGGAATACGCCACGTTACATATACTGGGACCGCAATGTCCTTAAATATCTCCCGAGAGGAACATAGTCCAAACGGTTTCCTCCAAAACCTCACCGATATAGATGATACATAAATATATCTCTCATGCATCAAGCTCATGCATGCAACAATTCTACTACTTCTCAATGCATCAAAGAATGATATACCACATGCTTATGGTTTTTGAAATTATTCTTGGGCTCACGTTGGCCCCTTATGCATTTTTGAAATATGACTCATGTGAAATGTCAAAATGCTCTATAACATGCTTCTAAATCATGTATAGACTAACATGAAGTATTCAAGAATATATCATCATGCTCGGTTTGCAACATAGCAATTTCTATATAATTCACTCAACAAAATATGCTTCGTTTCTCAATGATCAAATATCACAATTTAGTCATGCTTTCATAATAAATCATATTCTCAAATGATCATGCTTCTTTACTCAATAAAATATCATCAGGTCACAATAATCAAATAATTCTTCATACATAAACTAGCAAATATACACTGTGTAGCAATTCTTCACAAAATCCTTCATAACATACTCGTTTTAAATCCAAATTCAACGAAATCAAAGCCAAAACGTGCGTCGAGACTCGAAGAGCCGAGCCACACGGGCCTGTAACACTCAGTCCGAAATGACACGTAGTTGAGCTACAAGGGCCCGGCCACTGCACAAAATCCTTCACAGAATAAACTCAGGGACCTGGGGCGAGACTCCTCATGGTCCGCCCCATGAGCCCCGTTAAAGCACCGGGACTAGGCAACGGCCCTCCTCTAGGGCCGTGCCCTAGTACCGTGCCACCACGGCTCTAGCCGGCGGCCCTCCTGATGGGCCGCGGCTAGGGCCGTCCCTCTGATCTGGTGCACACTATGTTGTGCACCAGATGATGTTTCTCCTGCAAAAACTCATTCAAACAAGTCCAAAACAATCTCAACAACTCACAAACACATACTAAATCACTTCTAAGCATGAACACATCAAAAACTCATAGTTTCTACTCATTTCTATTCATAACTAAGGCTTCACAGAGCCAAAATTTAAAGAGGAATCCATGTGGTTATACCTCTTGTAGTCTAATCGTCTTACTTGGATTTCAGCCCCACTTCACTCAAGGATCTCTACTTCTTTCACCACCTAAACATCTCAAACAACCACACAAGGTCTAAGTTTTAAACCTTAAGAAGAGATGATATGCAGAGAAACTTAGAGAAGGAGGAAATGAATGGAGAAGAAGCTTACTACTATGGTGTTGGCAGCCAAGGAAGAGATCATGAGAAAATGAGGCCAACACCATTCTATTTATAAGGGTTCAAAACCCTAGGATGATTCACAATGATTGGTTGAGGGCAAAGGTGTAATTCCACAAGCTAAAAGTTGAATCAAGAAGGGATTTTGGATGTATTGTGGTCCACCATGCAACATGAACCACATGCTAGAAATGTTATCTTTTATTACTTTGGGTTTAAAGTGAATTTTCCCAAAAGTTATTTGGATGAACACTTGTTTAAAATCCTTTTTGAATACTCTCGGTCTCACTTAGATAAAATTTTCGATTTAAATCTTGGTACGCGAAGTACCCGATAACTTAGAAATTTTCGAATAGAATCCATTTCTTCGGTGTCAAATTAATTTTAAAATGCGACGAAATTATTTTTTTCAACCACCGATTGATCGCAATTTTTTTTAATGGAGTGAAAAAGCTATTTTGGGGTTTCTTAATATCGGATTTATAAAATGAAATTTTTGGTTGTTACATGCTAGGAGGCCAACAATTGAAGAAAGGCAGGGAAAGACTTATCCTTTCATGGATTCCGATGTATCTCCCATGTTTGACGAGCTACTCAAACTTAGACTCATTGAGTTGCCCGAAATGCAACGTCCTGATGAAGCTACAAGGGTGGATGACCCGAACTACTGCAAGTACCATCGTCTTCTTGGTCACCCGATTGAGAAATGCTTTATCTTCAAAGACAAAGTTATGGCACTGGTTAGGGATGGAAAAATTGAGCTCGCTGATGCTAACGCGAGCTCGAATCAAATCTCGATTACACTCGGACGATTCGCTCCGCTGTGTACTGATGTGTTTACAACATGATTCCTTGCAGCTCACTGTTCCTGAAATCAAGGCTGAAATGGAGAAAACTCTCCAGTGGCTTGTTCCAGTAGCCACTGACACTACAAAGTAAAGTAAACCTGTCTTCATTAGTTGCCTAAACAAGCTTTTAGCATTATTCCTATCACTCTTCGAATGCTATATAATTGATTTCTTGAATTTGGATGTGGAAGCAGGGCACATTAAGGTTTTGGATGAGTCGGAGAATGGGCCAACACCGGGTTAGTGTTTCTCCATTGGAGACACTCAAGAGGTGTACGTTGTTCACTGCAGAAACGATTTTGGGAAGAAAGCAGACGTGCAGAGTACCATAATCCGGCTGCACAGAAAAACAAAATGGATTCGTTCATGTCATGGCTTCACCGCCTCATCACCTTGGTGAGATTCAACGGCCACAGGGCGTTGGCAGCGAGATCACCGGCTCCTAAAGGACTAGTCCCCCTGCATCCTGAAACACCACCTAACAGTAACCTGAAAGTACCAAATGCACAACTTTCTGTAGAAGATAGAAGATTGTTAGGAGTGATGAAAAGCAGAAAGCTTGTTCCTGGACTAAGCAAAAGCCAAGAACTTGTATCATCCAACAATAAGAAGAATCAGAGTTGGTCCCTGAGTAGGAGTGATATTTTAGATGGTTTAGCTTAGGTTCAACAATTTCTGTACAAATCAAGCATTCTTTTATACCTACCATCATACTTGTATATTATCCCTAAAATTTTCACAACATCATATTACAATTCAAATTGTTTACACTACTTGTGAAATATGATACATCTTCAATAACCCACAAATCAAAAGGCAAGATAAACCAAACTAACTTTGCACGATTAGAAAGACTTAATAACTAATCAAGTGTGACTATCTATGTAACTTAAATTAGTTTATTTTATAAATCATATTTTACTTACACAATTACATCTTTTAAGGGTAATTTTTTAAAAATTTTGTATACTAAAATTAGTGATGACCTTCAAGGATAAGGATCAGATGGTAAAAATGAGAGTGCCTCATTGTCGTAACAGGCGAGGCGGGCACTCACCTCGCACCAGATGCAAGAATTGACCACTCCTCATATCCCCTTAAAACTTGCCTGAAGGATCATAGTTGATAACTTGGTATCACGGTGTCTTTTATAGTAGCCATATCACCAATTATATTGCTCACAAATCCGATGTGGGATGCTCAGAATATTAATCACAGTGGCAGAGGTCGACGCCGTATTGGGCCTTCTTGCCGTTAGGCCCAAGTCCATTTGCTATAACCCAATTTTGAACCGGAACGAGATGGGTCTATACAGTTATGGTGAGACTGTGAGAGCAATGGTGCGTGCGATGAAGGCTTTATTGAAGTGGCCAAGATGAAACTGAGGACGAGGATAATGAAGAGGTATGGCAATTGGCATTATATACATCACTCATAACTTCTCTTTCTTCAATACAATTATGCGGTGTAACTTAGGTCTAGTCCATAATATCATTGTTACAGGATTTGCGGAGCCCAGTCCGTAAAGTTCAATCCATCCAACGGCCAGAAGTCAATGAAGAGGGAAAGGAAAGCGAAGTGGATATAACTTTTATCAACGCCAAAAAGTCCCTCACTCGTTTCCTTCTACGCATAGCTAAGCAGCTTCCAGTTAAGTACGTAGACAATCCTCATCGGGTACTATTTACTGTTTTTGGCTCTGATGATCAACATTACTTGTAAGCGAGGGCATTATATATGTAGACATGATTGTTCATTATTAATGATTTAAATGTCATGAAGATTGAAGAAGCTGAAGACCAGAACTAACCTCACATTAGTGACTTACAGTTTCTGCAGAACAAGATTTAGTTGGTTGTATAGACAGGATCATCACTGTAGGGCCCAAATATTATCACATGCATTTTCATCTTCTCAAAAAGGTTTAGTGGGAATAGGCTCGAAAATCTTTTTGACATTTCTATCCTCACAAAACCATGCATACCCCACCCCTAATCACATCCGATTCAGACATAAACCTCTTTTCTAACTATGTCACTTCACTTTTCACTAGGATAATCAAAGTTATTTAGCCCTTCATTATCGCATAACCTTTTGAGAAACGAGACTTTGAGGATGCAGGGTTGGAGTAATGGTAGATATACTAAGAAGAAGAAGCAAGAGTTGTATATGTACGACTTACACTGGCATTACCCCGGCAAAACAAGCGAAAGCGCCAAGCAGAAATAGAAGGTGAGATGTGTAGTTGCATAGTGTTTTGGAAAAGAAAGGTAATAAGCTACAAGAAGACAATAAAACTTAGCTGATAAGGTTGTGATGGACAGGGCCGACTTTTAGATTTTTGTGGCCCGGTAAATAAATAAGGTCCTTCCAAAATTAAAATCTTTAAAACTAATACCGTAATTTTATTATCTAAATATATAACAAAAAAAAAATTCTGTGCATCGCACGCACATTGCACGGATAATTAGACAATTATTTGTTTGAATTCAAGCAAGGATAACATAAAAAAAAAAACATAATCGATACAACCCATTTCATCAATTGCACTATAGACATATTATGGAATAATAATAATAGTGTGCACAAGTTTTGAACCTTAGACCTCAAAGTTAAAATACAACAAATACATGTTCCTACAATTTATTTATAAAGTCTTTTAAATTTAATTAAAAACTTTTAATTGTTATTTCAAAACTAACTAGGTAAAAATAAAATATTGAGCTTCTAAAATTTGGGGCCCTGTGCGGTAGCCCAGCTTGCACAGTCCAAAATCCAGGCCTGCCGCCAGCGTCGCCGGAGGTGTTGCGCCGGCACCATTGCATTCCACCTGATTGGACCGGCAGTCGCCGGTGGCGCAACTTCCCTGTCCACTTCCGACGTCGAAATTACAGCCGGTTTTCCCCTAGATCCGGCTGGACCAACTCGACGTCACCTGAAAACCCCGCCACGCCCCCGGCGCAAGTTCGAATCCGGTGGTATCCAATCCGGCACTGCAGGCATTGGCCAGAACTCTCGGCCATACCGTGTAACCGCATCTGTTGATCAACATAAAAGTTGCTCCTCTAGCACCTACGAAAACCCAAAAAGAACATATATATCATCAGACATCAGTCCAATGATGATCATAAATGTCCCAATCCCAGAATGTAACAATCCATTTATGTTTCTGTTTTTGTCCTTTTACCTTCGACAATGAGGATGAAGAATAGCAGACAAGAAGCAAAAGTTGGTGACATTTGAAGCTAGATTTCCCACTCAAACTACAGACTGATAGATAGTATGATTATCAAGAAAATTTTATGGCCGGATGGGTTATATTTCTATCCATAAACTTGCGGAAACCCATAAAGAACCCAATTATCCGTGCAGTGCACGTGCAATGTGCGTGCGATGTACGGATAAATTTATTTATTTTTGTTACATATTTAGATAATAAAATTACGGTATTAGTTTTAAAGATTTTAATTTTGGTAGGGCCTTATTTATTTACCTGAACAGGGCCACAAAAATCTAAATACTGTTGCAGCGGCTCGGAAATGTTCAAAAATGCATGCCCCACATCTTATAGCTACGCCTACGATGACGCCACCAGTACTTTTACTTGTGGGCGGTGTAAATGTTGCAATGGGCAGCACAAGTCTTCATCGTCGTTGCCGGCGGCACCAGGAGCATCGTCGACGAGTGGACCTCCGGCGGCGCCGCGGAGGATTCGGGGCCGCAGGATGGAATTGAATTTCGGATTCCAGGGTTGGGATTCATAATGGGAGATTCATCGACGACAATGCCGTACTTTGCCTTGCATTCCAAGTTTCCGCTGACCTCAGCTATTACCTTTTTTATTCTCTCTTTTCTTCACTTGCTCTTAGTATTATGAACGAAACGAACGAACAGTTTTTTTTTTTTTTTTTTTTTTTTTTAATTTTATTTTTATTTTTTATCCATGTATGAGACGTGACTTGGGATACACGTTTGAGGAGGAATTAAAGCTGACCAAATACGCAAGCAAAGCACACTTTTCCATCTTGTATGTATACTGTATGTACTCTAGCTAGGTTACATGCTCGGACCACATACAAAATCTTGCATTGCGTATATGTGTTCATAAACCTTTCACCTTTGCTGGAATTGTGAGCTTCGTAGTCACGGCCGTGATCATTTTGCCGCCCACATTGACTAACAAACCAAACTGCATGCCATCATTGAAAGACAATGGGGTGTTTGATAAATAGTTGTTAGCTGAGTAGGTCAATGAGTAATTTGACTAGTTGATAACATTATAATTGTAGAAAAGTGTTTGGTAAATTAACTATTGTAAAATGCCTTGACAACTTTTTAAAATTTTAGTATTTTGGAGCAATAAATTGTTACATAAAACTAATTAATTAAACACTTATATTGATTGTTTAACCAAATCAAATCAAATAATTAATAGTAGTCAAATAAGTCAAAATAAATTGCCAATAGAAAGTTTTCACAGAGTTAAATTTGATATTGTTATTAATTTAACTGTTCAACGATCTACTTAGTAATTGTGTCTTATGCAATTGTACCAAACAATATATAGTTAAATCATAAATGAAATTGTTAAATCATAAGTGAGGGGGGTTTCTTGTGCACAGTGAGCACCGGTCTAGCCTCTGTGGTTCATGTTCAGTTGAGTCACCATGATTTACATCCTCCCAAATGCTCTGTCGGGCCGGGGTGTGGGGGCCCTTAGGGTTGAGTTCAGCCTTTTTTTGGAATAATAAACGAAATTGTTAGTTTAAGGATTAAGTGATCTAATTAATGATTGATTGGTATAAAATAGTAAGTAATGGTTGATGAAGGCACCAAACAATCAATCATAGTTAGATCCACATGCGTGACATGGCATCTAGTCAAAGATAGATCGTTCATGTACTCTTTCTGGACAATCTATAATTCGTCCTTGATATCATCATATCGTGGGTTTTGGAGCTAGAATCGGTTTCTTTTGCACTGGTTTCAGCCTCAGTTTCTTCGGCTTCTTCTTCCTCCTCAAGTGCCGCATCAGGGTTGATTTTGACCCGGGATGGAGCCAGAAATTCGGTTGAGGGGAGGCGAAACAGTACATACAGATTCAGAAAATTTTTTCAGAAAAGGCGAAACATTAAAAAAAAAAGATAATTTAAAAATAAATAAATAAACTACCTAAGAAATATAATTGTAAATATTGTTGGATATGGACGAAAAATAAAACACATCGAAACTTTATAAAAATATTCATAACAAAATATGAAACATAATTAATAAAATAATTTGAATAGAAAACACATTATAAATTACACATCTTATTATAGAGTGTGTGTGTAATATTAAAA